GTGTGTGTGTGTGTGTGTGTGTGTGTGTGTGTGTGTGTGTGTGTGTGTGTGTGTGTGTGTGTGTGTGTGTGTGTGCGTGTGCGTGTGGGTGGGTATGTGTGTGTGTGGGTGTGTTTTCTTTTCCCACTCTGCAGTTGACCTCAGTGTAACACCCCTTTTACAGTTTATCATAGGCTAATGGCCTCTGTCAGCTTCCTCTTCTTTGCTTTATAATCACTAAACCTTTATTTCAATCTGCTTATGAGTAATGTGCTCAATTTGAACAAAGGACGATCCATTTTAAATCAAGGTAGATTTAGGAAGCCATGATTCATTCAAAATCCTTAGAATCATCATCTCCGTGTATGTTAGATTTTTTTCCCCCCCTTCTTAGAATTTCCGTGGCTGCTGTTGGGTAATCTGATTGGCTGTAACCATGGCTCAGACTGTGAATGGCTTGCAGAGTAGACAAGTTTTCTCCCCTCTGCTTGTTTGCCTGTTTCTACCTCCAAACCTGTGAAACTCATGTGTATGTGTGTGGTCATTATGTGGAACTGAGATGCGTGTGTGTCTGCTACTGACCGGGCCATAGAGTCAACTTGCAGGGAAAACCTCTCCACCTCTTACACCCCAATTGTCTCTGTCCCCATGGTCACAGGCTCCCATCCTCCCCCCGTTTCTTTGCCCCTTCAGCATAGCATGTTTGTCCCAGAGGTGCACTTCTGCCTGCCTCCAACTGTCATTCACCTGGGGCTTTAAGCAGTGTTGGAGGTAGCACACTAAACTACTATGTTCACATGATATAGGACTATATGACAAAACGATTGGATGCACAATTAACATCTTTAGTTGTACTTGAGTAACGTTGCTGTTCCATAGCAATAAAGAAACTACTCTAAGCACTGCTCAAAGCCTTGCTGGCTCTTCCCTCAGGTACATTTTATGTGTAGTTTGTGTTCACTTTTTCCATGGTTAAGCACATCCCAAAATGAGCTTGCTGGCGGTAGGCTAGCGAGGAAATAAAGGAATCTCAGGGAGATTTGCTAACTGGGCTGACAAGCATCTGCAAGGCAAAAAGCTCAGAGGGGGAAAATGGTGGTCATCCCTAGAGACACCTATTGTCTCAATCTAGATATTTGACCACATCTTTAAAAAGGCAAAAGTATATTTTTGATTCATTACTTTTCTTAGGCGGTAAGCCTCCCTCTAGACCCAAAATACTATCAGACGTGGCAGTTTCTAGTCTTTTTACGCAGAATAGCTCCTTTAACAGTTCTTATTTGATGAGATTTCACTTTTTTTATTTCCCAAGCTAAAATATGAGGGATTTCCAGGGTTTTTACTAGATGTAAAACCAACCTGCTTTTCCACTACAGGAACTCAATGACATATGAGAATGCATACATGCATGTATTAGTGAAATGGTAGCATTTGTCATGATAAAGTTTAAAACCATGTTGTTTGCGCTATGTTATAGTGTTGGTTCATTTAGCACAATCTCCTGAGGGGAGCTCAGATTTTGCTTCCGCAACTCCCACTGCCCCATTTTTTAGCTTGTGTTCAGTTACAGGTCGCAAGTTCCCATAGTGGAAAAGATGTAAGGGGTGGTAATTTGTTTTTTGGGATATATTTTGTTTGAGAAACAAGATGACATCAGGCTAGGGGCCTGGGGACTGGGATAAGTGGTTGGGAGAGAGTGGTGAGAGGAAATCCCTGTAAGCACCTAGCCCTGAATGAAGGGATGAGGGGGGGTGGGGCGGTTGACACACAGTAGCCCCTCTGGTAATGAACCCCCCTAAATCCCATAACCACACTCCCAACCCCACCCTCCCTTCTCTATGTGCCTCAATCTTCCTGCTTAACCAATTGGTGTTTCTTTTTTACAGCGATTTGATCCTGCCCATGTTGTGCTGATGGTAAACTTAGTGGTAAATGTTATTTTATCCCCCAATTGAATTGTTTTCTGTTTGTTTTTATTTCTCCAATTTTTTTTTTGGTTTGTTTTTCCTTTCATCAGAGCACCAATGCTACATAGGCTTTAATTCTCTCTGTATTAGTCTTCATTCTGCTGCTTGTATATTACCATGCATATGTATTACTCTTAGAACATTGTCATTTTGTTTGTTTTCAGTTTTTTTTTCTCCAAAAAACCTTGTGATTCACACCCTGTGATTTAGATGCACATTGTTTTTGTCTGGTCCCTTTCTTTTTCACTGGAATGGGTAATGTGGAAGTATTGTCACTGTGTTTAAAGATTGGTGATAGTTTGGGATGACTGTAATTGTTCATTAATCTATAATTCTAGGCCTGACTTGTGACTTGTCAGAGAGACCACTGCAGTGGCTGGCTAACAGACTAAACCCTGTTTTTGGTTTCACTTCTGCTGCTGCTTGATAAAGGGCATGAACTTACATGTCCAGGCTATCAGTAGTCTTGTGATCTCAAAATCAGCCGTTTTCTTTCACTTCCTTAGTTTGAATATGGCCAGAAAAATCATCCAATCACTGTTAGGTATTCTGTTTAAGAAAAAAAAAAAGCCTGCCTAGGTGACAGACACTGCCGTGGGACTGAGAGTGCAGGCAGGCCGTTATACAGGGTGCTACTATGCCCATGCATTTGTTTTTAAAATGACTATGTCATTGGGCTATGATGGCTAAAAGAAATGGAGATTTGCAGTACATTTTTTCTTACTTTCCTGTCTAGGAAAGTAAGAATGTGTAAGAAAGCCACTGCGGTTGTGATAATTTTGAAATTGTAATCAAAACCAAAAGGTTTTGAACATATTATTTACTCCATTACTTATGTTTCGTTCTCTTGATTGAAAATCATCTGTATTTACGAATAGAAGAATTCTATTTTCTCTTCTTTATATACGGCACCAACTGGTAGTAAGGTTACATCTTATTTAGCGCCACTGTAATTAAATATTAGTAGTTTTTCCATATGCCCAATGGTATACATATAAATTTAATTTGTGGAAAAACCTACATTGGATTATTGGATTTGTGGGAGGGGAAAAAAACTGAAACCAAACTGAATTGATAATCACTATCAGTGTGATTAATTATTACATCTGGCTGGCATCAGGAGCAGCAGACTAGTCCAAATTCTCTTTATGCCTTTTGTTTTGAGATTCCCCTGTCTGTCTGTCTGTCCCCCCCTCCTTCTCCTCCTACTCATGCCCATGTTTTACCAGGTAAGTATCCCCCATCCCTTGCACTGTCACCATGGCGATACCTGGCCTGTGACGTCACTCTGCTGTAGTTCAGTGCTTGTGTCCTTTTTTCTTTTTTTTTTTTCTTTTTTTTAATTTGACTCTTTCTCTCTGCTTTGTTTGGCTGATTATGAGTGGATCAAGCAATTCAGTGTCAATCTCCAATGTAGTTTTGATTTACATATATTTTATATCTTTAATGTTTCATTCTGTTTTTGTTTTTTTGGTTGTCTTTGGTTTGTTTATTTTTCTACAAGTTAATTTCCTTCTGATCTAGCTCTTTTCACAGCTTACATAACATAGGTTAAGTAAACGGAAGAAAAATCTTTCAGCTTCAGTCATAATGAGGAAAGGGGAGCCTCTGACAAGGGAACAGGTTTGGACCTCAGGACAGTAAATGGTTAGACAGACAGTTCAGCAAGAAGTGATGCAATAGCCTTTAGATAATATTGGGAGCCTTTGTTACTCTCAAGGAGGATGTCGCAGTGGTGTTTTGTGAGCAGTAGCAGCAGCTGCAGCTCCCCTCACACACACACACTGTCTCTCAAACACACACACACACACACACAGTCCCTCGAGCTGCAGCGTCCTTGATAAACTTGGCATTCTGGTTTAACAGGACTGAAGGAATGAAAGGATGGAGGAGGGGTGCCAGAGAGGCACAAATGAAAACATACTGGCTTAAAGATCAGTATGCTTTGTAGTGTACTTCTATATCAAGACATTTTACTGAGCTATCCTGATCCCCTTGTCTTCATTTACTCCATCAGGAATCCAGTGCAGCTAATTTGACTCATTCATAATGCAAACCAGCAGCCCAGTCAAATGTAACAGGAAGGCTAAATTGGTTTGTAGCTGGTGGCTGCAGTAAGCTGTGAGAATGGCTGGTGTTTGGTTCACTGTAGCTTTCTGGTCTCTTTGCACTTGAAGGCAAAATTCTCTAACCCCAGCACCCTATGCTCTAAAAGCAGGCTGTCTCCGAGTTGGTTCTTCATCCAAGCATTAAAAAAAGCTCACCTGGTCCTCTCTCTCTCTTTCTACCCTTAGGACGCACTGACCCTGTGCCCATCATCCTTAAGTATGATGTCATGGGGATGGGACGAATGGAGATGGAGGTATGATGCTCATTTTTATCGATTTGTACTTCTTTTTTTTTTTTTTTTTTCTTTTTTTTTTTGGCACCTTAAGTGCCCAAGTAGTAGTTTAAGGTGTTTAGATAAATATTATGAACTTGTTTTGACACTGGGGTGAGTGCTTTGACTGTGAAATAGAAATGACTTTGAAAATGAGCAGTTGAGCTAAAATGCTGTGTTATACAAGGTCGCATGGTTTTGAAAATCCCATGTTTCAGGGTTGCTTCTGATGAGTCGAACAGATAGCCTCTGGACCAATCATCAGGAGCTCTGAAGACATTTACATAGCATAAAAACCATACTGTTAAGTATTAAGAAACACTTTGTGAGTGAATAATTAGCACCAATTTTTGTATATCTATCTATCTCATAGTATGGGATACGTTCCTTTGCTAGGTCCCTTAAGAGAAGTCTCAAAGCTATGGCACAGTGACTTCCTACAGGACTACTTAAGTATAACTGGTCCTGTTCACAACACGCAGTTCATGCAGAGGTGTTCTGTGTTCAACATATTAAAGATCTTGACTGCCATGGACAGTCTTAACCACTTCAAATACCTTCAGACATGAATGATGAATGATTCTATTTAATGAAAACAAAACATGTAAAAACCACAAAGAAGAATGTGACACCAACACTGCCCAGCTAAATAAAACTATGCTTAAATTCTCAGCGAGCATCACTGCCAGTTATTTCAGCTCCTGCCTTTAGTCTTTGATATTTGTCTTGAAATAACATTCACCTACCTTGGTCGCATAGATGTTTCTACAGCAAACAGTCAGTCAGCATGATAAACGTGTGTAACAGCACACAAGCGACACAAACTGACCAACTGTTCTTCTTGGAGTTTCCATGTGCTGTCTTCTATAGTCACTGTAGAGATTCGATGCGTTCAAGGCACATCAGCTCTTCTATGCACCATATTAAACTCATTTTTGGTATATAAGATGAACTTGGACTGGCTTTGACAATGTTGTTGCTTTATAATGTGACTTTTTTGTTTGTCCTAGCTGGATTATGCCGAGGATGCCACAGAGAAGAGGAGAGTCCTCGAAGTGGAAAAGGAAGATACAGAAGAACTGCGACAAAAATACAAGGTGAGGTTGTTTATCTCTTTGTCACAGTGATAATAATTGTTATCACTTGTATTTTTTTGATACTGTATTTTTAAATTTCCCACTAAAAACAGGACCAGATGGAAAAAGAAAAAGCCATCGCAAAAGCTCTGGAAGACCTGAGAGCCAATTTCTACTGTGAGCTGTGTGACAAACAGTACACCAAACACCAGGAATTTGACAACCACATTAACTCTTATGACCACGCTCACAAGCAGGTACTGCTGTTTAGCAAGCATTGCGGTGTTGATGTAGATCTGTTTTTAATTAAAGACACAATGAAATGATGTGCCCGGTTTCTCTCTGTCTTGCAGAGGCTTAAAGAGCTCAAGCAGAGAGAGTTTGCTCGTAATGTGTCATCACGTTCCCGGAAAGATGGAAAAAAGCAAGAAAAGATGCTGCGGCGATTGCATGAGCTTGCTGAGCAGAGAAAACAGCAAGACCGGTAAGTATTTGTTCCTGGAGTGCCATCTGCAGGATGGGTTGTGTATATGTATTTAATGGGACATGGTGAAATTACTTATTTTATAAATGTCACTGGTTCAATATGTTAGTCCAAACTAGACAAATTCAACAAAATGCATTTCATTTCACTTACTGTAAGTTAAAACATATTTTTGTATATTTTCATCTTTTCCAGTAAGCATGATAAAAATTAACGTCAAAGACCTCGATAGTAAAAATTTGTCCAGCATCACATTGGTGTAATGTTTTCTTTCAGAACTCCTGGAAGTGGACCTATGTTCAAAACAACTACAGTCGCTGTTGATGGAGAGAAAGGAGAAGACAGCAACAGCATGACACCTGAGAATAGTATGACACAGTCTTTGGCAGACACTGCCCTGGAAGGATCACTGTCAGATAAAACTGGTCAAGCCTCCCCAAAGTCTGGTCCAACCTTTAGCTTCTCTCTGGGAAAGAATGCCTCATCCTCGCCAACTTCCAGCAACGCATCAAAAGTCAGTGTATCATTCTCTTTTGCCAAAAAAGCACCAGTAAAACTGGAGACAGCAGCTGCTGTTTTTGCTGATCATGGTGAGGAAGCTATGGAGACAGAGGAGAGTCAAGAGGGAGAAAAGGCTGGAGGACAAGATGACACATCAGGCTGTGGCACAGACAGCCCTAAGGGACTGTCTGGAGGAGGGGAAGGAGGAGGAGGAGGAGGTGCAGCAGGTACAGAAGGTACAGAAGAGGTGCAGCAGCCTGATGATGGAGGATCTTTAGCATCAACGCTTAGCAAATTGAAAATGATGATGAAAACCAATGAAGGATATGTTGGACAAGAGCCTCAGTACTACCACTATGTACCACCAGCTCACTGTCGAGTAAAGCCACACTTCCAGTTTTTGCTGTTCATGAAAGCCTCTGAACAGTGTCAGAGCAAAGATGAAGACGATGAGGAAGAGACACAAGAGGAGAACAAGGCTGAAGAAAGTCCAGAACAGACAGAGAGCGGTGTGACAGAGTGCAAGACTGAAAAGGAACAAGGCAATGTTACTGTAGATGCTGACCCAGACCTAGTTCCTCTATCAGCTAATGTAAAGGCAGAAGAGGAGACCCCTTCATGTGCAGAAGATGCAGCTCCTGCTGTACCAGCTTCACCCACCCAGAAAGCAGAGACGCGTGATACTGTGGATACAAACGCTGGTCCGAAAATGCCCACTGGTCCCTTCTTTCCAGTCCTGAGCAAAGATGAGACTACAACCCTGCAGTGGCCATCAGAGCTCCTTGAATTTACAAAAGCTCAACCTTCCCTGTCTTACAGCTGCAATCCCCTCTACTTTGACTTCAAACTGTCCCGTAACAAAGGAGTGCGTGGTGGGAAAGTGGCAAAGTCCCCCAAGCCTGGTGAAGACACTGATGACAAGGGACAAGAAGTGAATGCTTCACCATCTGAAGTAGAAATGGCTACTAAACCTGGAACTAGTGCTGACAAAGACAAGCTAGTGTCAAAAGGAGAGTCTGGGCAGCCAGAAAGTGAAGAACAAAAGCCCACAAGTGGAAGTAATAGTGCAAAGAAAAAAAAGAAAAAGAAGAAGCATAAGAAGTCTGCAAAGCATTCAAAACGCAAAGGAAAAGAAAAAGGAGCGGGAGAAGATGCAGAAGGTGAGACTGAGGTAACACAAGAAAAGCCCAAAAAAAAGAAAAAACACAAACGTAAGAAGAGCAAAAACAAGGCTCAAGATCAAGCTGAGGCAACTGGTGAAGAAAAGGAAAAACCTAAACCAAAGTCAGAAGATAAAGCTGCTGCCTCCTCTGTTCAGCTGACAACTGGAGGGGAAGGAGCTACAGGAGCAGAACTGGGGAAGAGGAAACGTGGTGCTAAGGAAGTGCCTTGCAAATCTGGAGCAGAAGGAGGGAATGGAAAAAGTACTGACAAGGCCAACTCATCTGAGGAGCACAGTGGCAACAAAAGACAAAAGACTGACACCAGTGCATCTCAAAGTGCCTCGTGCTCCACCTCAGCCCAAAAGAGTCCTGGCTCTGGTAGACCTCCGAGCAGTGAAAGTGAAGAAGAAGGGGGCTCTAATACCCAGCGCTCACGTCATCACAGGTCAAGCCCGAGGGAACAGCGCCGCCACCATAGTGAAGAATCAGGGCGATCCTGCAGCCGTTCATCGAGACGGGGGGAACGACGAGGTAGCAGTCGCCGACGTCATCGTGGCCAAACCTCCCGTAGTCGCTCTTATTCCAGCAGCTCTGAGCGCTCCTCAGCAGGCAGCAGTGCCTACAGCCACCGTAGCCGAAGCTACTCAGACAGCTACAGCGACTACAGCACAGAAGGTCGCAGACGAAGGCGCTCCAAACGTTCATCCGACTCAGAGTATGACCGCAGGAGTAGCCGAGGACGTAGACGATCCAGGAGGCATCAGTACACATCTTCCTCTTCAGAAGACTCACGCTCACGCTCACGCAGCTACAGCCGCAGGAAGAGGCACAGACGGCATCATCGGAGCAGCTCCAGAAGCTCCAGCAGCTGGAGTCGCAGCACTAGTGCAAGATCCTGGAGGCGGAGCTACAGTCGTAGCTACAGCTCTGCTAGCCGCTCCTCCAGTTCAAATAAAGGGTCTCCTCACAGGCGAAGCACTAGGGGTCGTGAGGATAGTGACACCCATCGCAGAGACTTCAACCGCTCACGCATCTACCGCTCCCAGTCTCCACGGTCTTCTTCTTCACGAGGCCTTAACCGCAACACCCATTCATCCAGCTCGCTGGGTCTGAGACCAGGGGGGTCTCGAGATGCAGGAGAACAGAAAAACACTCTAACTGCACGACAGCTGTTGGAGAAGGTTCAGTCCAAGAAAAGCTCTGAAGATTCTACCACAGGAACAAAATCTGGGATTAAGATTAAAGACCCACCGCAGGGCTATTTTGGCCCAAAACTACCCCCATCCCTTGGAAACAAAGCCATGCTTCCACTAATTGGTAAGCTGCAGGCAGGGAAAAAGCCAGCAATTCCTTTAATCAGACCTGAAGAGGGAGAGAAATCAGGGACAGGGAAGAGCTGTGAACCTGAAGGAGAGGTTATATTAGTAGAACCTATAAGGGAGTTCCCACCTCCACCACCACCTCCAGCTCCACCAGTTCAGAAGGTTGAGGAAGCCCCACAGAGCACAGTGACTCAAGAAGAGACACAGCAGCCTGCAACAGAAGACCAGGGGCACCAAGAAACCCGGCCAGTATTTGAACAAGAGCCCTCCATGATGATGCCCCAGTACCAAGGAGAGTCAGGACAAGACCTTTCCCAGAACCCAATGATGGAGTCCATGATGCCTGAAATGCAGCAGCAGCAGGCTGCCATGCATGCCTACCCTGGTTACCCACCGCCCAGCTTGGAGGAGGATGGCATGGAGGCAGAGGAGGATGGACTGGCTCCTTTGGAAAGTCAGCCAATTACATTCACACCAGAGGAGATGGAGAAATACAGCAAGCTGCAACAGGCTGCACAACAGCATATTCAGCAGCAGCTTTTAGCCAAGCAGGTCAAGACTTTTCCCTCAGCTGCTGCAGCAGCCGCTGCCGCAGCAGCCGCCACTTTGGCCCCAGCGCCCCCTCCACCAGCCCTGCAGCAGATCCACATTCAGCAGCCAACTGTGTCCGTAGCTTCTGGCACATCCATCACCACAGTGCAACACGCCATCCTTCAGCACCATGCAGCCACTGCTGCAGCAATGGGCATCCACCCAGCTCATCCCCACCACCCACATCCGGCACATGCCCAGCTGGCCCAGGTACATCACATTCCCCAGCATCACCTTACCCCCATCTCCCTGTCTCCTTTGGGGCCGTCACTTGGTCATTCTCTGGGACATTCACTGGGGCATGCAGGATTGATCCCTGCCCACCCAACAGCCTTCCTCTCTGGTCAGCCAATACATATTATCCCTGCTTCTGCACTTCATCACACCCCCTTAGCTCTCCACCATGTTCCACACACAGCCCTCTACCCCACACTTTTCACACCCCGACCCTCACAGGCTGCAGCAGCAGCAGCGCTTCAGCTCCACCCACTCTTACACCCAATATTCTCAGGACAGGACCTCCAGCACCCCCCTAACCACGGCTCTTGAAAACAAATGAAAATGAAGTAGTGTGTTCACAACAACCAACCACTAAATGAAAGACTTAACCTGAACGCTCTTGGTTTAGGGTTTTAAATAAAGTCTTTGTTACATCATGCAGGCTGTAAGATGTGGATCTTATGAGAACTTTACTGGCCTTCACAGTGCAGCACGTCACCACAAAGTGGTTAAGACTGCTGGGTTCAAAATCGACACTAACATTTTCTTCTGGTACATGTGAGATTTTTATTTTCTCATTTTTTCACAGATTTGTTTCTCCCCCTCTAAAAACTGTAGACACTTCCTCTAGACCATTGGTTTATATTCCAATTTGGGGAATAGTAACAGCCTCAGAAACTACTGGAGTTTTTTGTTGTTGTTTTTTTTGCTTATTTTGGCAGCCAAAGAGATACATGATGGCTAAAGGTGTAAGCAGAATCGTGTTACGATTCAAGGAAGTGGTTTTGTTCTAGAGGTGAACATTTTAATCTGTGTAATCTAATTTTCAGAGATGGACTCTTTCATGATTACTGATCTCTTGTTGTGTTTTCAAATGACTACTCACTCTCTATTGGATTCTTGGTTTAAAAGTAATTTGTAATGCAGTAACTTGTACATAAGTCAGTGTGTAATGTGAAGAAACCCACCAGTGACAGCCATATGAAAAAACAAAACAGATATGGTGTCCAAACAAGTATGACACTGTCATACAAGAAGCCCTCTCTAAATCAGGGGAAATATGATGAAGGGGTGTAAATCTCCTGAATACTCTGAAGCAAAGCTCTTGTTCCCTGGGATGAGGGTACATCTGAATCAATTGCACTGAAATCTGTACATCAAGATGGTGCCTGTGCATCATATAATAAGATTGTAGTATACTGCAATAATTGTATTTTTCTGTTTTTTTAAATTATTTTCCAAAATGCTCTTCAAAAGAAGAGCTGTGTTTGGCTTTTTTTTGTGTGTAATTTTGTAAATAAAACTGCTGTAGATTAACCTATTAACGTTCTACTGGGTTGACACTGCTGTTGGGGGGAGGGGAAAAAAGCAGACAAATGACAAATTGGATGGGAGGTGGACACATGTATTTTATCACGGTGGTTTGTTCATCCCTGCTGGGGTGCCAAACAGCAGTGACCTGTTTAAAAAGAAAAGTAGCAACTCTGTATTTTTTAAAGAGTTAACTCTGTTTCACCAAATAAAATCCTGAGTTTGTGTGTCTTTTTCCATATTTTTTTCATTATTGAAATTGCCATGTAAATAACTGTAGATGGTCACATGAAGGTCCTGCTTTATTTCCATAAGCTTCATCTGACAGTCAAACAACCCCTGCAGATGTAAATGTCCAACAGTAGATGGTGCTGGAGTTACCTGGAATAGGCTTCGGGAAAACAGTCAATCCATGTGAATGCAGCATGCATTTAGTGTATCTGTTCACAGGCTATGATTAATACTGTTTACTGTAAAAGGGGAAACAGTCCTGTCAGCACTTGCAGAACCATTAAACGAGGCTGTAGAAAGAAAATTATAGATTTAATTTCTTTAAAATCACTCACATAGTGAGACGAGACCAAGCATAAATGAAAGAAAGCATGTGACAGAAAGGGGCTGCTTCCATTGATTTTCTTTGAACTATTACCTACATATATTATCAGTTCCCAGCTTATTAGGTACAGCTCGCTAAACCTAATGAGGCTGTCCACCAAGTCCTGCCTTAATGCAGGATATAATGTTTGTGTTGAAAGTCTAATTTTCTGGTCATTGTGCCTAATGTATTAGAATTGTATGGCATCAACTCGATCCTACTTTGTCCACTACATTAGACTGTATTGACCAGGTGCAGCTAATAAGCTAGTAACTGAGTTTACACCATAAAACAAGAATTTCTGGTGAGAATTCTTAAGTTGCATTGTGATGAAACACTGAACATAACATTTTCGTACTTGTATTTCTTTAAAAACCACGTTTATCAAGGCGGAAGAACACTGACGGCAGCTTGAGGAACAGTTAAGTATTTATAAGAAACCATCTGTGTAAAATCACAGGAGAAATTTACAGTTTCAAAGTGGTTTTGGTAAAAATCGAAAGTGGCACACTGAGCTTCACATGGATTAAAAATACTGTCTGTAGTTTAAGGTCTTTGCCAACATCACCATTTTATCAATAAACATGATGGAAAGCCATTAAAAGAAAACTAAATGTAAGGGAACAACTAATGAAAGTTGGTTTTAATGTTAGAAATTCATATCATGAGGGACGATGTGCTGCAGAAATGTCCACGACTGATCAAAAAGCCGCCCTTGTGGATGGTTGGAGGTCAGCCCAGGTATCTGATTACCAGGAACATGAAGACGCAGGTCAGCAGCATGCCTCCAATCATGATGAACTTATCTTGAGTGGCTCGCCTTTCTATAAGTCTCATCACTGTGTTTGACAGCCCCAACATGTTAGCCACATCCAGCATCTTCTTATGAGTTCCCTGTGCAGAGCCAAAACAGCCACACTCATTTCAACAGTAATGATCACATGTGACAGTTTATAAGAGCCATAAATAAACAAAATGTTTCCATGACCACATTGTAATTATCTCCACTAATTCCTCTGATTTTGAGAGACGTTGAGTGCCAACGCCCTCCCTGACGCGCCACTCCGTCAGAGGTTTCTCATGGCTAGACAACCAGGCTGAGAGTGCTGATCAACAGACACACCCTGATAAGAAGAGGCCTGAAGCAAAACCAGGAAGCCCATCTCCTCCTTGGAAACACAGACTCGCCCTCTAACTGAGCATGAGCACACTAACAATACGACTATTGTGATCATCGTGGACACCAGAAAGTGGGTCAGGAAATTTAATTCAGTCCACCTTCTATTCCGCTTCCTTGTTTAACAAATGGTTTAAATAAGCTACAGATGTAGACTTGTTTTTCTGCTGTGTTAAATCACTAACCTTTAGCGTAGATCTTTGATCTCTGAGACCATTAAGGATGCTGCTGCCACTGCCGATGAGGTCATCAATGCCTCTGTGTGCGTTGTGCAAGTTGGAGTTAAACTGTAGGGTCTCATCTATGGGGATGGAGGTATCTGCGTCCTATTAAACAAAAGGGATCTCTGTAATTTACACAAACTCTAGATTCTTTTTTTAGCTTAAAATGTTGCATTCACATCAATACCCATCACCAGTTTGATCACTATTAGACAATTTACATACATTCGTGGTGAAGGTGCGGCTCATGAGTTCCTCCCTCTCTCTCTCCTGGGCCTCTCTGGCATAGCGTCTGTGCTGGAAATTTTGCAGGGCACTCCGGAGGTGCTGGACATCATACTTGAGCTGGTCCACTCGTCTGAGAGAAAGAAAAGGATTCAACTGTGTCCAGTTTTACAACTACAACAAACATTTTCCAATTTAAAGTTGAGGGTCCCTGCAAATCTTTACAAAGCAATCCAGTCACCTCAAAGAGTAATCTATAGAGATTTCAAATGCATTTTTGCCCACTGTGGGAGGTAACAGGCTACTTGGAGTTTTTGAACACTTCTCAATTTAAGCTTGCAGTTCCTATAATGTGCAAGTGCTATAGCCAGGGTGTGATTTGTCAGGGAGGGATTTCTCCCACTCTGGTCTACACATCCCTGTCTCTGCTAAATAATTTTTCATCCCTGGCAGGGGATAACAATGTATTCCTCCCTCTGACTTTTAGCACCGCATCAGCCAAATCAGGAACTGACTTTCAGCACTCAAGACCCTGTTACAGTAAGGTTCACACTGCATGGAGTGGATGATCATTTCATTAAACCAAATCCTGCTGGGTTTTTTAGTAAAAATTATTTTTAACTAGATAAAAGAAATTAACCAGATTCTGTGTTGGGAGACTCACAAAAGTTACATATGCAACTATGCACCAGGCTGCTGTCTGTCGACATCCTCGTTAAATTGTACCAAATAAATAAATAGAATCAGCTGATTATGAAGAGGACAGGAGAGGAACTTTTAACAGATTTGAGGAATTTAATGTACTGTCTCTCCACCCTTGTTTGACAGTGGCGCTAACTCTTACTGCACCCTGTTTTGTTTTTTTTCACAATTCAGTGTATCAGCAGTTGTACTGAATAAGGAGGACATTTATTTTGCTCTCAAATCTTATGTGCTTGTTTTGAAGAGTCCCCACAATCCCCCACCCCCTTCCCCTCCCTGAGTTCACTCAGGCCCCACCAGAGACCTGCTAAGATTAAAGGAGCGCTGTGGAATGGGGTGCACTGTCCCCCCTAAGGCCTGTTTATCCAGCTCAGAAATGAATCTTTGCCCAATGCAGCAGGAATGCTGGTGATGACGGGGGCTTCTGAGGAAATGTTTTCACAGAGCCACGTTGCCACAGGGCAGGACGCGGCTGCCTCTTCATCATCTAACCCTCCTTCTGCCTTTATTGCATATGATACATCCAGCTGTTTCTGTGTCTTTATGGTCACCGTCTATTGTTTAAATCCAAACTCACAATTTGGCATTCTGGCGGCGGTTTGGCGGTTCCTTGCTGGCCAGGATCTCAAGGCGTTCTAAATGATTGAAGATCTGGTCGATTCTAGCTTGCAGTTCATTTTCTAACACTTGTAAAACAGAGAGAAATGAAGAAGAGAGAATTGCAGGGAAGACAACAGTTAAGGCTGTGAAATTACAATTCATAATTTTGAAATTTACTGGCTAATTTACTTACATACTGAATTGATTCAAACATGTCTTCCAATATATATATAAAGAAAAGAGTGTGGGATGCTGTTTGTCTTCTAATAATATACCCAGGTGTCACAGGGTAGCATTCATCACTTAAGCGACCCCAGCTCATTAGTAGCTGAGTAAGTTTACATCCTCCCCTGGGGTTTAAATAAACCTTATGTCATCATTTGTGAAGGGGAGTTCACTGCCCGGCTCCCACCATTATCTGCCATACCACCCACCCTACTACTTCCTGTCTTGGCAACAGCTGGGCACAGAACTGAACGGCCAGGCACTATTCACAGAAAACAATTAGCTCTGGCTTTTATCATTATATATGTGAGAGGAAGAAGCAGCCATAACAAGGACCCGGTTCTGAGCAGAAATTAGAAGCTCTTCAAAGGGGATTTCATCAGAGGTGGTGCCATTAGGAATGACAGCTTTGTACCACAACAACACTCCCACACAGAGCAGGGGCAGAGCCCCTTACAATCATGACAGCTGGTCACTTACAGTGAACTGACTGGCGGTCTGTCTTTTCCAGATTTCCCATTAGAGACTGAACCTCCTGGATTTGCCTAATCCACAACGATCATACCGTTAGTGAGCAGCAATAAAAACAATTTTGTTTTAATTATTACTGTACATGAACATATTGGTATGTGCCATATTTATAGTTTAATAATCGTATTATGCTGATATAAGCCTGCTGCAGCAGAAGTAAAAGTGATAATAAGTTAGGCTCATTAGCAGTGGTAGCTAACGGGCACCGTTTCCACATCAGACAAGAGAACTCACTTGTTGGTCTGGTGGTAAAGCGTCTCCATTTTTCCCGATCTAAGAAACGCTTCGCCCTCCCTTTACGTTATCGCGTTATTTTTGTTATAATAGTTTTAATTGTGACAAGCGGCTCTGTTAGCTTGGTAGCTAACGTTAGAGGAGTTTACACGTCATCAGCGGAGCTTTTGTGTACGGAACTAGGAAACCGGAAGCCGCGCGACGTCATCACACAGAGAGAAATATAGAAGAGAGCTCACTCCTTCTTAATTACACATCTCTGTCAGCAGACTGTAAGAGGAGTGTTTTTATTGCGGTTTTTAATGTTTTAAATAAAAATCTTTTTTTTAAAAATGACGAAATAAACACACCCAGAATACTCCTGCTCCTCTATTTATATTGACCAAAACTGGAAAAAGACATAGATAATATACGGCAAATACTGCATTAACAGTGAAATGAAGACGCTTTGTTTTTTCAGTGTCCAGGATATACCATGTAAAGCATGTCATGGAAAGGTTTATACTGTATTACTGTATATTGATTATTCATGTGATTTAAGTGTTGTTGTTTTTTCCCATCGAATGTATTTACTCTGGATTTACGTGCAAAGCTTTTTATTTAATAAGTGAAAAGTTTGCACTTTGTGATTGGATGCACTACTGTACCTGGAATACTGGTACAGTCTATTTCATAATTGTCAAAGGTTAATATGTAATACATTTTATTTTTCCTGTT